TCCGAGGAATTGGGGCTCGTTTGGAGCAGAACTCAATGGGTTAAAGCCGTGGCGAAGGGGTGGTTTCAGATGCTTTTTGGGAGCCTGGCTAGTGGTGGAAAATGCTAGCACATTGTCTTTTTTCTAGGGATCCAGAGCGTCCGACGAATTTTTTTTTGGTGTGTTCTACACGGCACTGTTCCACGCTTCGCACGGGCATGGCTTACCGTTAGGCTTGTCATGTTTGACTCGAATTCGTCCACTCAGCTTAGTCGACCAGACATGTGCACTACATTGCGGACACTTGTGTTCGTGTTGGCGACCAGCAACCACGCCATCTAGCACGCGAAATTGGCGGTTGCATGCGGCTCGATGGTCGATTTGGCCAGTTCGTACTGCGCTGTGGCAGGAACACTGACAGAATGGACGTATGTATTCATACAATATCGTCGGCTTGATGGCAGCCTCGCTCGGCCGTGGACGATTCGCTACGGACGCCTCTGGTTTGAGAGCGCGGCCAGTGGTGGGCATGCGTGGCTGTGTGCTTGTTGTGATGCGTTTGACTTTTTTGGTTTGTGGCTCGGAGAGATTGTATTTGGGGTCTCGACGCTTGGTTTGACGACGGCTGTGCACGACTGTGTGCCACGGTGGCTCGATTGGTTTTGTGTGTGGTGCCAAGACGCTTGCGCTTCGCTTGGGCTGCTTGGCGGCGGTGGCTGCCTGGGTGCTGGAGTCCGTCGGAGCCAGACATTTGCGTTCTTGGACTTTACTTGCGATGAGGTCTTTGATTTCTTGCACGATTTGTTCTCGGTGACGTCGTTTGCGCAGTGATGCTAGACGAGCGTGGCTTTTGGCAGCGATGTACTGGCGTTTGAGCTGCTGTGCCTTGGTTGGGTAACACACGTCACATACCTGACGCCCATTTTGTCTGGATGGATGCTGGCGTAGATAAGTCTTGTATTGCTTCTGTGGCTTTCGCTGTTGACAGTGTGCGCAAGTCCAAGAGCCGCGGGATTTGCGTTGACAGGTGAGGCACTTTCGCCGGTTCCCTTTTTTTCGTTGCCACGTGGCAACGCTGAAAAATTCTTTGGTTAGAGTTTTCAAGCACACAACACACTGCTTCTTTGCTTCGCACGACAAACAGACGCGGCAGGAAGCCCAGCGTGGACTCAGATGCTTTGACAGGAAGTGGCCAGCGGCGTGCCAGAGACCACATTGGCTGCAACGGTACGGAGTACCTGCATCACGTTTTTGCGATGTGCACTCCTTGCAGACGCGGTAGTCGTCGTGGCGCCACTGGCCCTTTGTGAAGCCGTCTTTCCGTTTGCTTTCCTTGCATTCCATACACAGCCTCTCATCGAGGTATTTTTTGCGTAGGGAGTCCCAGTCAATTTGTTGTTGTTTCCAGACGTCCAGCAGCAGCTGCCGTCCCAATGGCAAACCAGCCTGCAGAGGCGCCAAAGGAAAAGGACGGTAGATCATAAGCTTTTCCCGGGCACGGCAACGTGTCAGTCCCACGTAGACTGCAATTGGATCGGGGTTAGCTGGAATATCCACAATGGCACCGTGTTCTGCAGTGCAGCCTTGTAGAGCGTGAGTTGTTCCTGCGAAATCAGGCGCAAGTGGGAACTGAGTCCGCGTTACTTTTAGTTTGGGATTTGTGCGGCCCATGTCCAAGTACCACGGCTTGCGTGCTAGTGCGACCGGAAACACATTTTTTTCGTTGATTCCAGGGAGCTGCCACTCCGTGCGAGTGTGAAATTGCACAAACACATACGCCGGAGGCTTATTCCAGACGACGTTTTTCTGAGCGGTTTCTTGCGCGTCTGTTGCTGTGGTCCAGCCGCACACAATCCCATGACAACCGCGCAGGATTTTAAAGTCACCGCGGTATATATGCTCACGCGCTTGTACGGGCATGCCCATGCACAAGGGTAACAACGTCTCAGGAAAAGCCGGACCTGAGAATCCGGGGTCGGCGGCAGGGGCGGCAGCCCTTAAATTTATTTATTTACTTATTTATTTACTTATTTATTTATTCATTTGTGTATTTATTTTTTTTGTCTTTATTTCGTTCTTTCTTTCATTCTCTCTCTCTCTCTTTCTCTCTTTCTCTCCTTCTCTCTCTCTTTTTTTCTCTCTCTTCCTCTCTTCCTCTCTTCCTCTCTTTCTCCCTTTCTCCCTTTCTCCCTTTCTCATATCTCTCTCTCTCTCTCTGTCTCTGTCTCTGTCTCTCTCTCTCTCTCTCTCTGTCTCTCTCCGTGTCTCTGTCTCTGTCTCTGTCTCTGTCTCTCTCTCTCTCTTTCTCTCATTCATTTTCTCTCTCTCTCTCTCTCTCTCTTTCTTCCTCTCTTTCTTTCTGCTTTGTCCTTCTGTTTTTCCTGTCTTTTCTTCCTTCCCCCCTCTCTCTCTCTCTCTCTCTCTCTCTCTCTCTCTCTATCTATCTATCTATCTCTCTCTCTCGCTGTTCTTGAAGATTGACCATACTAGACCTATTTCGACAACGGGATTGCTCAGGGTCCAACGATTTTAGCCCGTCAGAATTGAAGTCTGAGTCCACTCGAGAAAGACTGCGCTCTTTCAAAGTGATAGACCTGAAAGCACAATGTGGACGTGAATTGCAAAGTCTCTGAGCAGGTACACAAAGAAACAAAACATGTTGCTTATATACCTGTGATAGAGGAACATGCATCGACAAACTTGCAAAGGGTAAGGCATCATATGTATATGTATATGTATATGTATACGTATATGATTATATGTGTATATATATATACAGCCAGTTTGGGACACGGGCTGGTTTGTAAGCACCCAAGGTGCTCGAGCCACACCGCTTGAGACCTGCACACAGTTGCATTGGAGCTATCAAACTGCAAATGCGCGTAACCAAAAGTGTATCAGCAGAGGACGCACTGCACCGTTTCAAAGGAAAGTGAAGGGTACTTGAAGTACTTGCACTTGTTCATTCAATGTGTTTCCAGTTTTTTTCTCACCGCTTCATTGCTCGTCATGAGCACAAGGCGTTTCATTTTGTGACTGCCTCACCTCGCCTCACCCACCAGCAAGGGCCGCATCCGACAAGATACAGATACATGGCCAGGAACAGGCGGTCTGAGACAGGAACATACTTCAAAGGACAATGGCATGATCTCCGCTTGAAGAGTCAAGTGGTATCAATTAGTATCAATATGTTGGAATTGACGGCCTAGAAACTCTGCAAAGGAGAAGCGACAACCGAGACCATCAGCATTCGCGGGCTCGCGGTACAAAATGTCCCAGCAACACTTTCACACGATGGGCGAATAATCCAAGTTCCGCACGGAGGTAATGGTACCGCCATTGTCCGCAGCTTTAGCCTCGCGCTCAACCCACATCCAAGTTGCATCGCCAACCAGGTCAAAACACAAGCCAAACATTGCCACAATTGACTGCCTCTAGAACTGACCAAGTCTATCGGAGAGCGCATCATGGAGCTCCCACGAAAATGTAGGTTACGGGGCCGCAACGGTGCTTTCACTTTCGGTAGAATTGTACGCTGATGAAGGTGATGTCGTGTGAGGGAGAATATTCATGTAGGTCGAACATGCTGGCGTTTACCCAGCTTGAGCCTCGAGGGCAGAAAGCTCTCAAGGATGATGGTCAATCCACAGTCCACAAACACAAGCGCTGTGCGGATCTTTTGCTACAGAAAACCCTTCACTTGGGCTGTCTGGTTGTCAGCCAGCAACTCTTCCTGACAACTAACGTGACAAATAATGTATTGTATCCGTGTATTGATGAATCATTGTGGGTTTGCAGCCAAGCCTGTGACAGCGCTAGGCGCGCCAAATCCTCGCCTCAGGGAGCCCGCTGGGCCAATGGGATGTGTGGTTCTTTTTGGCCAAACTTCAATAAACACCTTGAGGGCCAAGCCCAAAGCATCCAACAAGTCACGAAAGAGCATGAGCAAATCCATCTGAAAAGGTTGTCAGGATGTGTTGGGATTCAAGTGATTCAAGGAATATAATGTGATGTGAACAAATTGGTACAAGGCCACCCAGCAAACCCACTGTACAAAGCATATCCAGCCTTTTTCAACTGTTCCGTGAGAAACTGCTTGAGGCACTGCCTGTGCTGGTTCTTGCGACAATCCCAATAATCCGGCAGTGGCTTCTCACAAGAATAGATGCTACTCCCCTTCCTTCAAATCAGGAGCAAGGACGCTACTAGTAGCTCCTGGCCCTACTACTAGGAACAAGAAGCTACTAGAGGCGTTTGGCTCGAACTGCCACTCGCTTCACGGCCGCCGGGGGCCCGCGGATCTCGCGACCTTCTGCGAAGAAGGCGTGGATCGTCCACAGAGGCAGGCCACAGCTTGACCTGCCACCCGCTCCTGTGGCACTTTGAGCTTGAGCCTTTTGTTGCCTCGCGCCATGGATGTTGTAGATGAGTTGATTGGGTCTCTGCGTGATCCCCATTGGGCTGCAAAGGCCAAGGGTATTTTTGCAGGTCTACATGACGGACCAGGTGTTCTTTGGGATGACGTAGCTGTTCTGGCGGGAGTCTTCACTGGTTCCCTCTCTGATGCACTCATGATTGATTTAGGTCACTTCGCTGCCAAGAAGGGGTTCCTCTTGGAACCTGCTGCGCCATCGACGATCTCAATTCCTGGTTTGCAGGACAGAGCCCTTTCGTTCCATGTTGGTGATGTGATTGCTTGCTGTGGCCGCATTCAGCAAATGTCGACTACATCGTGGAAGGCTGATAGTCAAGTGACACTTGCGAAACGACCAGTCTTTGATGTTTCAGCGGCTTGGGACTTTGTGCACCTATTCCCGGGCGCCTTCAATGGCTGGGGACAAGCTGTCAACCAGCTATCCAAGCATGTCAGCGCCTTTCGTTCTGGCGCCCAGGTTTGTGTTGATTTTGATGCAGAGGTCACCCAAATCTGGATGGAGCGCTACCGGAAACCTGCTCACGTAGGACCCTTGCTTCCCAGAAGAGCTTTCGAGTCGCATCCGCATGCATTTGCACGCAAGTATTCGATCACACCATTTTCCATTTGTTGGCTCCACAGGTGAACATGTGTTACACTGCATCACCACCGTGCCAACCATGGTCCCGCGGCGGTAGATCGGCTGGCATTGCTTGCCCCCAAGGGTGGGCTTTCGTGGATGCAATTAGGATGTCCATTGCGGGGCAACCGCACCTGCTGGCTTTCGAATGCGTTGACGAGGTGGCATCACATGCCCATTTTGCTCTGCTGGAGGCTTTGCTTGAGTGGGGTGGGTATTCATGTGCTTGGCAATGCGTGGTACCCTTCCACCAATTGCCGCATGTGCACAGGTCAAGATGGCTAGGGGTTTGGGTGCGCAAAGATGTCTTCACTCCTGCCGAGGGACCTTCCCTCCCGATTCGTGCTGATAGGTTAGTTCCATGGTCTGCACAGCATTGCAGGTTTCATGCGCCTAATCCACTCAAAGACCAGTTGCGTCTGTCTCAGTCCGAGATGCGCATTTACGGGGATGTTCTGATGCTGCCTCCGGCCAAGCGGAAAGGCATTCCAACTGACGCCTCAACCCAGCGCGTCCTTCGAGTGAGACTTCAGGACCCCTATGATGCACTGCCTACGCTTTGCGCGTCGTATGGCAACCAGCACAACCTGGCAAAGCAGCATTTGCTTGAGAAAGGCATCTTTGCGATGCTGGACAGCGATGGCAAGGACTTCTTCTTCATCGACCCTTTTGCACACTGCGCCTTGCTGGGTGCCACGGAGTCCATCGTTGCGTCGTCTAAGATCGTGTTGGCCTTCAGACAGGTAGGCAATGCCATTTCGGTCCCGCAGGCCTTTCTCACCTTGTGCGTCGCCCTCAAAGCCATTTTGTCATGGGATGCTCCTGTTGCTGACCTTGTCCTGCGCTGTTGGGCTTGGCGACTTACCAGCTTTTCGAGCTTTGTCATTCATGGTGATAGGTTTGCCACTCCCCTTGCTGAGGATTGTATTGCTTGGCACATCACGCATCGCACTCTCGGCAATACCAAACTGATCTACTTGCCATCAGTTTGGGTCGTGTCACAGATCTGCGTGATTTTTTCATGGCAGTTTGACGTTCGCAGTCATATCTTCTGCCGCAACGAGGACTTCAAGCGTTGCTACAGTTACTCTTTGCATGACTTTGCCAACATTGTGCAACATTGCCAAGTTTGCATCGATGGGAGACCCTTCCTTGATGTTTGCATGAGGGCCCAACAGAAAGAGAGCAATTTCCCGCTGGAGAACTGCCAAGTCAAGACTGTGAGTGTGATTTCTCCCACGCTGCATTCGAGCATGCCGGTGCCCTTTCCAGGACAAGCTGTGAACCCACGCCCTTTGGATTTTGATGCCATTGCCTGCACAGAGGCCTTTCGCCAAGCCCTTGTCTCAACTGAGGAGTGCCTTGCAGGCAATCATGGTGTCCCCGCCCTCTTTGCCTTTCGCACCCCTGCTATGTCCTTTACCGGTCTTGTTCCTGTGACATCGCTGTGTTTGCCGGAAACTGGGCTGCAGGAACCCTTGAGCAAACGTTTGCGCCTGACCATCTCTAAGGTGAATGAGCCAAGCACATGTGCCTTCTTTCTTGTCCCCTAGGATGAAAGTGAGGACAAGCCTTGGTTTGGCTTCATCCGAGCCAGTGGTGCCATCGGAGTTGCTTGCTTGACTCAACAACCTGTGCAGATCAGCTCCACATTGGGGTCTGCGCTTTCACGATTGAGCGCCAGAATGGAGGGCTGTGGTCCGATGACTCACGCATTCGCCATGGAGATGTCCTCATGAAATGGGAAGATCTGTTGCTGCCAGATAAACATCCTGTGCTTGATGCCAAAGGCAACATGCTGGATCAAACACACAAGTTGCAGATGAGTGCCAGGAAGGCTGGAGCTGCGCTAGCCACCAAATCCAGCGTTCAGGATTTGATTCGTTCAGCACCAAGTGGGCCAGCTGTTGTCATCCTCCCCAACGCGGAGAAGCAGACCTTTGGAGACCTTGCAGCCAAGCTCATGGGCCCATTCTTGGGTCAGAGTACAAGCGACTCGTGCTCTTGTTGCCCCTACATGGCACCATCACCTACAGCCTTCCGAAGCCTTCCGTTTCGCTCACTGCCACTGAGGTTACCGAAATTGTTGCGGAGGTGGACACCCGTCTGCTGTCTTCTCAAGATCTGGATTTGGTGAAGGCCGCACCTTTGCACTTTATTCGATGCAATGTGTTTGCCCTACATCCGGACCTGAAAGATTCCCTCGCGTTCTACGCCATGAGAGTGGGTAAACACCCAACTGCAGAGAAGCATGAAGTGCAATGGCAGTGTATCATCAGGTCCCCCATGAAGCAACGCCCGGCCATTCTGGCCTCCAGTGGCGTGCAAGCAGTTCTTCTTCGTGACTACCTCGACAAGCAACATAGCCATGATGACCTCTCAGTGGTGCCAAAGTTTTGGCCGCCGTGACTTGGCAGAAATTCGCATTGTGATTCAGAACACCTCAGGTTTCGCTGGCATTGCGCTTACGCGCAGAGGTCTTGCAGTCAGAGCATGGAATGACAACATCGCAAGCATCCGCAGGGCTGTCCTCCCCACAGACCCTCGGCTAACGAAGGAAAACACGCATGTCGTGCCAAGGTTTCCCTTCAATTCCAGCGGATGGCCGCCTGCCATCGAACCGTGCTTCGTCGCGTCGTCGACGCTTCAGGCAACAAGCCATGCGCCTGTCCCCACTCGTGCTTGTCGCACCGGGGGCGTTTACAGCTGGAGTCTTGCGTCCGATAAGAAACCATCGGTTCTTCGCTTTACATTAGACATTAATGGCAGCACTTTCGAGATCCTGTTGGTTGAGGAGAGCTTGTCACCCCAGCCGAGGGTTGCCAAGAATCAGTAGCGTCAAAGCCATCTACTGCCAGTGTCCCTGCTCCTGGTTCCCCCCCCCGCGGGACCATTTGCTGCGGCTTCTGCATATGTCGCTGAGAACCACCGCATCACCAAGCTTGAGGAGCGATTTGACCAGATCGAGCAGAGGCAGGTCAGAGTTGAAAGTAAAGTTGATGCAAGGTTTGAGGAAATTTCCTCGTCACTCAGGCAACTGCTGCAGGCCTCTCAGAGCCGCACTCGGGATCCGACAGGAGATACCCCTGCCCCCAAATACCCTCGACAGGAGGGCTCGCTCTGATGGTGGATGCCAGCGCTGTTCGTCTGGCTTCTTTTTCGCGCCTTGGTTCTTCCACGTCTTTGCTCCTTGACCTTTTCTTGGGGTCGAGCTCTTTCGCCTGCGGTCTTCCTTCTTTTGGTTGCATCCATGTCACTGTGGTGCGTTGCCTCTCTTGCAGCGCTGGCCTTTGGGTTTGCAATGCTCTATCCTTGCATTGTGATGGGTTGTGCCACCGGGGTTTTTCGAGCCCTTCGCTATGTTCTCTTTGTCAGTACTCAACATGAGTATTCTTTGGCCTATGCTGTGTCCTTAGTCAACACTAGTCCTTGGATTTGTGTTTTTGGGC